TTGTTCTCTCTCTCTCTCAAATTAATTAATTAATTTTTAAAAAGGTGGTGAGAATGGACATCCTTGTCTTGTTGCTGAACTTAGAGGGAAAGCTCTCAGTTTTTCACCATTGAGTGTGATGTTAGCTGTGGGTTTTTTGTAGAAGGCCTTTATTATGTTGAGGTATATTCTCTCTAACCCCATTTTGTTGAGAGTTTTTATTGTGAATGAATGTTGAATCTTTTTAAATGCTTTTTTTGCTTCTATTGAGATGATCATATGATTTTTGTCTTTTGTTTTGTAGATGTGGTATATGATGTTGATTGATTCACAAATATTGAATTACCCTTGCATCCCTAGAATAAATCCCATCTGATCATGGTGAATGATTTTTTTAATGTGTTGTATACAGTTTGCTAATATTTTGTTGAGAATTTTTGCATCTATATTCACCAGGGATATATTGGCCTGTAATTTTCTTTTTTTGTTGTGTCTTTGTCTGGTTTTGGTATCTGGGTAGTGCTGGCCTCGTAGAATGTATTTGGAAGTTTTCCTTTCTCTTCTGGGTTTTTTTTTTTTTTTTTTTTTTTTTTTTTTTTTTGACTACTTTGAGAATAGGTATTAACTCTTCTTTAAATGTCTGGTAGAATTCATCTGTGAATCCATCTGGTCCTGGAACTTTTGGTAGTTTTTTTTTTTTTAGATTTATTTATTTATTTGAGAAAGAGAGAGAGCATGAGTGGGAGGGGCAGAGGGAGAGAGGATCTCAAGCTGACTCCACGCTGAGAGCAGAGCCTGACATGGGGCTTGATCTCACAACCCTGAGATCAGGACTGGAGCTGGAACCAAGAGTTGGACACTTAACCAACTCACAACCCAGGCATCCCTTTTTGGTAGTTTTTTGATTACCAATTCAATTTTCTTATTGTAATTGGTCTATTAAGACTTTTTTATTTCTTCCTGGTTCAGTTTTGTAAGATTGTGTGTTTTGAGGAATTAGCTATTTCTGTTAGGTTGTCCAGTTTGTTGGTATATGATTTTTCATAGTATGCTCTTATAATCCTTTGTATTTCTTGATGTCAGTTGTTACTTCTCTTGATTCTGATTTTATTTATTTGGGTCCTTTCTCTTTTTTTCTTGATGAGTCTGGCTAAGGGTTTATCAATTTTGTTTATCTTTTCAAAAAACCAGTTCTTGTTTCACTGATATTTTTTCCTTTTTTTTCTTTTTTCAGTCTGTATGTCATTTATTTCTGCTTTGATCTGTATTACATCCTTTCTTCTATTCACCTTGGATTTTGTTATTCTTTTTGTAGTTCCTTTTAGGTGTAAGTTTAGATTGTTTGATTTTTTTCTTGCTTCTTCAGGTAGGTCTGTATTGCTCTATACTTCCCTCTTAGAACTGCTTTTGCTGTATCCCAAAGATTTTGGACCATTGTGTTTTCATTTTCATTTGTCTCCATGTATTTTTTTATTCCTTTTATTTTTAATTTTAATATATTTTTTAAAGATTTTATTTATTTGAGAGAGAGAGAGTAAGAGAGAGAGAGCACAAGCAGAGGGAGAAGCAGACTCCCCGCTGAGCAGGGAGCCCAGTGCGGGTCTTGATCCTGGGACTCAGGGATCATGACCTAAGCTGAAGGCAGACACTTAGCCGACTGAGCCACCCAGGCGCCCTGTTTTTTCATTTCTTCTTTGATTGCTTCATTGACCCATTGGCTGTTTAGTATCATGTTGTTTAATGTCTATGTGTTTGTATTTTTTCCAGTTTTTTTCCTTAAAAAAATTTTTTTTTTAAGATTTTATTTATTTATTTAATAGAGAGAGAGACAGTGAGAGAGGGAACACAAGCAGGAGAAGTGGGAGAGGGAGAAGCAGGCTTCCTGCCAAGAGGGGAGCCCAATGCGGGGCTTGATCCCAGGATGCTGGGATCATGACCTGAGCCGAAGGTAGTCGCTTAACCAAGTGAGCCACCCAAGCGCCCCTCCAGTTTTTTTTTTTCTTGTGATTTGTTTCTAGTTTCATACCATTGTAGTTTAAAAAAAAAAATTCATATGATTTGACTCTTCTTAAATTTATTGAGACTTGTTTTATGACCTAATATGTGATCTATTATGGAGTATGTTACCCATGCACTTGAAAAAGAATGTTTATTCTCTTGTTTTGGGATGGAATGTTCTGTGTATGTTGTTATGTCCATCTAGTCCAATGTGTCTTTCAAAGACATTTCCTTATTGATTTTCTGTCAGGATGATCTATCCACTGATGTAAGTGTATTGTTAAAGTCCCCCTACTATTATTATATTAGCATCAGTTTCTCTCATTTTGTCTGTTAACAGTGGCTTTATGTATTTAGGTGCTCCAGTGTTGGGTGCATAGATAATTACAATTGTTATATTCTCTTGTTGGATTGATTACTTTCTCATTATGTAATGCCTTTCTTTGTCTCTTGTTATAGTCTTTATTTTAAAGTGTCTTTTGTCTGATATAAGTATTGCTACCTGGGCTTCTTTTTTTTGGTGGGGGGGGGCTTCCATTTTCATGGTGAATGTTTTTCCATCCCTTCACTTTCAGTCTGTACGTGTCTTTATGTCTGAGGTGAGTCTATTGTAGGCAGCATATAGATGGGTCTTGTTTTTTTATCCATTCTGTTATTCTGTGTCTTTTGATAGGAGTATTTAGGCCATTTACATTTAAAGTAATTATTGATAAGTGTGTACCTAGTGCCATTTTTAAAATTTATTTTCTGGTTGTGTTACTTAGTTCTATGAAACACCTTTCTTGCTCTCTTTCTTTTTCTCTTGCTCTCTTTCTTTGTGACCGGTGAATATAGTGTTTTGTTTGGCTTCTTTCTATTTTTTATGTATCTCCCATAGGTTTTCGGTTTGTGGTTACCATGAGGTTCATATATAATATCCAAATGAGTAACAGTCCATATTACCTTTCTGGTCATCTAAGCTCAAACACTTTCTAAAAAAGCAAAGCAAAAACAGTAAAAGAAAAAATCTTTTCCCCCTTCTCTTCCCTTTTTACTGACTTCTCCACAGTTTACTTTTATAACACTGGTTTAGCGGTATTAACTTCTTTATCTTTTATTTGTCTAGGAAACTCTCTCCTCAAATATGAATACCTTGCAGGTACTTGGTTATAGTTTTTCCTTTCAGCACTTTGAATATATAATGCCACTCCTTTCTGGCCTGCTAAGTTTTTTTTTTTTTTCTCTTGTGAGTAAAGCAACAGAAGTTTATTAAGCAAGGATACAAAAAAAGCTCACAGGAGTGAGAGGGGTCCCAATAGGGTTGCCCTGACCTGCAAAGTTTCTGCTGAAAAATCAGCTGATAGCTTCATGTTTTCCCTTGTAGGTACTTTTTGTTTTTCTCTTGCTGCTTTTAAAATCTGTCTTTATTTTTATTTTTAACCTTTGACATTTTAATTATTGTGTGCCATGGTCTGGAGCTCCTTGGGTTCATCTGGTTTGGAACTCTCTGTGCTTCTTGGACTTGGAGATCTATTTCCTTCCCTAGGTTAGGAAAGTTTTCACTTATTTCTTCACATAACTTTTCTACACCTTTCTCTTCTTCGTCTTCTAGAATCCCAGTAATGTAAATGTTTGCTTGATATTGTCCAAAAGATTTCTTAATCTATTTACATTTTTGGAACTTTTTTTCTCTTTGTGCTCTTCTGCTTGTATGCTTTCCATTACCCTCTCTTCTAGATCACTGATATATCCTTCTGATCCTTTAATCTGCTGTTGATTTCCTACAGTATGTTTTTTTTTTTTTTCAGTTATTGTGTTCTTCAGCTCTGATTGGTTTCTTTTAATATCTTCTGTCTTGTTATTGAAGGTATCACTGAATTTGTCCACTCTTTTCTTCAGCCCAGTGAGTATCTTTATGACCATTACTTTATTTTTTGTTTTTTAAAGATTTTATTTATTTTATTTATTTGAGAGAGATAGTGACAGAGATAGCGAGAAATCACAGTCGGGGAGGAGAGGGAGAAGCAGGCTCCTGCTGAGCAGGGAGCCTGACGTGGGGCTTGATCCCAGGACCCTGGCATCATGACCTGAGCCGAAGGCAGACGCTTAACTAACTGAGCCACCCAGGTGCCATTTTGACCATTACTTTAAATTCTTTTTCAGGCTTATTGTTTATTTCTGTTTCATTTAGTTCTTTTTCTGAGGGTTTTTTTTTTTTTGGAGCATATTCCTCTGTCTCCCCCCCCCCCCTTTTTTTTTTTTTAAAGATTTTATTTATTTATTCATGAGAGACAGAGAGGCAGAGGGAGAAGCAGGCTCCCAAGGAGCAGGGAGCCCGATGCGGGACTCAATCCCAGGACCCCGGGATCATGACCTGAGCCGAAGGCAGACGCTTAACCATCTGAGCCACCCAGGCACCCTCTGTCTCCCCATTTTGCTTGAGTTTTTGTGTTTGTTTCTATAGAAAGGTAAAGAGCTACTTCTCCTAAACTTGAAGGGGTGATCTTGTGTATGGTGTCCTCTGTGCAGACTGTTTGTGGTTGGTGACTTTAGCTGGCTGACTGGAGCTGTGGCTGTATATGCTAGTTACTCTTTTAAACTGTGGCATGTCTCCATCTCTCTTCCTGTTCTCTTTTTGTTCTATCTTTGGTTATTCAGTAGCTGTTCAGTCAGCCCTTAGTTTTTCAGGAGGAATTGTTCAATTAATAGATGTAATTTGGTGTGTTCCATGGAGGAGGACATAGTTTTTTCTACAACCCCGTCTTCAACTAGAACTCTCTTTACACCCACTTTAAATAAATCAGGCCAAACTAGAAGACTTATTGCCGAGTTTACTTACATTCATTTTATTGCATAAACTTCTGAAAAAGGTGAGTTGGTAATGAGTCAAACCTCTATAAATATATGACTTTCTGGGGCACCTGGCTGGCTCAGTCAGCAGAGCATGCAACTCTTGATCTCGGGGTTTTGAGTTTGAGCCCCATGTTGGTGGTAGAGTTTACTTAATTTATAAAAAAGACTTTCTCTTTTCTTTATGCTTTCAGGCTGAGAGCACAGACAAAACAACAACTCTTGGAATATAAATCAGTAGTTGATGCAAGTAAGTATTTTCATTTTCAAATAAGATTTTGTGAGCTTGGTGATGAACAGTATTCTAGAGAAAAGAAAATCAACTTTACAAAAAGTTATTTATTTAGGGAATGGGAGTGTCAGCATAATGTGGTACTGTACTATATAAGAAAGCAAAAAACACAATTGCCCTGTCCCTCAGGAACTTGTTAGGAATTCAGGAAACAGATTAACAAAACTAAATAATAATGCAAGAAGTTAAGTTCTGTTGATCAGAGAATTGGGAAATTTCTGTGGGAAGGAATCATAGAACTTGATCATGAACAACTTGAAGATTAAATTAGTGGATCAGATGATTGGGGATTTTGCCTCTCCCTCTGCCCCTCCCCCAGCTCATGCTCTCTCTCTCGCTCCCTCTTTCTCTCAAATAAATAAATAATCTTTAAAAAAAAAAGATTTTATTTATTAGAGAGAGAGACAGAATCCACAAGCAGGGGGAGGGGGAGGGGCAGAGGGAGAGGGACAAGCAGACTCCCCACTGAGCAAGGAGCCTGATGCAGGGCTCAATCCAGGACCCTGGGATCATAACCTGAGCTGAAGGCAGATGCTTAACGGACTGAGCCACCCAGTCACCCCTGAAAAAATGTAAATTTATCTTTTAAAATCTAGACGTCTTGAGCAAGAGAGTACTAAAATAATAGTTTAGCTCTCCTAAAGTAGTAACCATTATTACAACCTAATTTGTAAGCCTTTGGATTACAAAGATAGGTTTTGGTGAGTCTTTCTTTCTCTGTCAAATAGGCTTAAAGAATAATACCAAGTAATACTTTAGGTTGAATCAAGAATTGTGGAAAACCTGAGGGGCCACAGAGGTGACTTAGTCACTTCACCTGAATACATGTAACTTAGGAACTTTTCAGAGTCTGCTCAGATTCTTTTATAAGGCCATAGATCCAAAGGCAGTTCTAGTATGTTGTCCATCTGATAGTCCAGGCTTTCTAAAGTCTTTTTATGCAAAACAACAACAACAAAAAAATAGGACTATGAAATGGGCCCCCTGGCTGCTTTTCTGCTTGGTATAACTAGTAATTTTTTTTTTTTTTTTAAGATTTTGTTTATTTATTCATGAGAGACAGAGAGAGAGGCAGAGGGAGAAGCAGGCTCCCCGCTGAGCAAGGAGCCCGATGCGGGACTCGATCCCAGGACCCTGGGATCATGACCTGAGCTGAAGGCAGACACTTAACTAACTGAGCCACTCAGGCACCCCATAACTAGTAATTTTTGAAACTGGGATATGAAACAGGTCTTTTTGCCTCCAAAGCCATGACCTTCCATTATATCAATAATGTTACCATCAAAAATGATCAATATGGGGGCGCCTGGGTAGCTCAGTCAGTTGAGCCTCTGCCTTTGGCTCAGGTCATGATCCCAGGGCCCTGGGATCAAGCCCCACATCGGGCTCCCTGCTCCACGGGGAGCCTGCTTCTCCCTCTCCCTTTGCCCCTCCTCCTGCTTGTGTTCTCTCTTTCTCAAATAAATTAAAACTAAAAAAAAAAAAAAAAAAATTACCAATAAGTCATTTTCCTTCCCCTGGAGGCATTAATGATCTCCTCATTTCTGAAGCCCATGCTCCTTGTATTAAACTAGTGATGTTTAATAAAGGTAGGATATGGCTAAATTCTTTTGCTGCCATGAGAGCCCACGTAATAAAAAAAGATAATGTATCTTCTTAGAGGACAGGCTGTAGGGGGAAAGCTATTCAGAATTTGGGCCATTGAGAAATTATCTCTGTGTATTCCTGCATTCATTCAAATCATTTTTAAGTATTCAATATGTCCCCACTAGGGACATCTAACTAGGCATGGAGACATAGTGTTGAAGAAGCAGAATTTGCCCTAGTAGAGCTTAAATTCTGTGTAGCAAAACAGGTAAGGAAAGAAACATAGCAAGATAACTATGAAGTATGGTTAAGTGTGATGAAGGAAATAATGGTGTCATAAGGAGGGGCTACTCTAGATACTGTGATCAAAGATGGTGTGTTCGAGAAGATGACATGAGAGTAAAGTCCAAGTGTTAAGAAGTAGTCCAGCTTCTCAATAGAGTCCTTGTTTTCCATCTATATATAATTTTTCTTTTAAGGGATTATGACTTCTGAACACTTGAGTAGGCTTAATAGTGCACACTGTAGAGTTTCTACAACTAAAGGAGATTACAGCTTTAGGGCAGGAAGTGAGGTTGTAATCTTTGATAAAATGTTTATCTAAAATTAATTATTTTACCATTAAAAGAATGTGTTACTTTATTGCTTGAAGGATTTTTTTTAACAGTAAGTACATCCATTTTCAGCGTATGGTTTGTTGAGTTTTGACAAATATATATATATCACTGTAACCACCACCACAGTCAAGATAGAATATTTCTGTTATACCTCCCCTGTTCTACTTCACAGTCAGTCCCTATACTTACCCCAGCACCCACATTATAGATTTGCCTTCTAGAGTTGGGCTGTCCAGTGCTGTAGCCATTAGCCACATGTGGCCTTGTAAAGTTAAATTAATTAAAATTATATTTAAAATTCAGTTCTTTAGTTGCACTAGTTACATATCAAATGCTCAGTAGCCACATGTGTCTAGTGACTACCCTTTTGGACAGCAGAGATATTAAACATTTCTACCATCACAAATTTCTCTTAGACAGGATTGTTCTACAATGTGATGTAAACAGCATTATATGATATGTATTTATGTGTGTGTATCTGACAACTTTCTTTTAATGGAGATTTCATTCATATAACATAAAATTCATTTTAAAATGTGCAGTTAGGTAGGTTTTAGTATATTCACAGTATTGTGTAATCATTACCAATATCCAATTCCAGAACATTTTCATCACCCTAAAGAGAAACCCAGTACCTGATAGTGGTCACTCCCAATATGTATGGCTGCTTTTGCACAGCATAATTTTATGATTCATCCATGTTGTTTGTTTCAGTAAATTTTTCTCTTTTATTGTAGAGTATATTTCATGATGACTCTACCAAATTTTGTTTATCCATTCACCTGTTGATGGCCATTTGAATTGTTTGCAGTTTTTTCCCATTATGAATAAAGCTGCTATGGACATTTGTCATTTCTACCTGTCTTTCTGTAGACACTTCTTTTCATTTCTTTTGGTTAAATACCTAAAAGTGAGATTGTGTGCTCATGTGGTAACCATGTTTAACTTTTTTTTTTTTTTAAATATCATGCCCAGTGTGGAGCCCAATGCAGGGCTTGAACTCACAACCCTGAGATCAAGACCTGAGTTGAAATCAACAGTCGGATGCCCAACTGACTGAGCCACCCAGGTACCTCTATATGTTTAACATTTTAAGAAACTGCCAGACATCTAAAATGTTTACACCAGGGTGCCTGGGTGGCTCAGTCAGTTAAGCATCTGCCTCGTTCAGGTCATGATCTCGAAATCCTGGGATTGAGCCCCACATCAGGCTCCCTGCTCGGCAGAGAGTCCTCTTCTCCCTTTCCTTCTGCTCCTCCCCCCTGGCTTGTGCGCATTTTCTTTCTCTCTCTCTGTCTCAAATAAATGAATAATCTTTAAAAAAAAAAATGAGAAAAATGATTATACCATTCTGGTACATTCTTCCTAGAAGCATGAGATTTCCATTTACTCAGCATCGTCTTTAAAATTTGATACTGTTGACTGGAGTTTAAAGCCTGTCAGCGGGTGTAGCTTTGCTCCCCCAAACCTCCCCATCGTCTCTGGTCCGTGCTCCCGGCTTGTGGTTTCCCCGTAGCCCAAGGTGGGTGAGCTTAGGGCGAGGGCGCTACGCTGTCAGGGACCGGCGGAGCCTTGGTTGTCGCTGCCTGATGTGGAAGGAAAGGCTCCTGCGCCCGTCCGTGTTCCACAGCGTCCTGCGAGTCCGGCACCGGCCAGCTCGAGGCTTTCTCGAACGCCAGTGGAGTGGCCAGCATTGTTCTAAGGCCCCCGAGATTCGGCGGTGAACGAAGCAAGTTTCCTCCCCTCCGAAGGAAAAATGCCCTTTCGTCTTGTGTCCCCTTGTAATTGCAGCTCCAGGTTCCTCCTACCGTAGGTAACAGAGGTTCTTCCAAGAATGGGCTGTGTTGGTGGCTGCAACATCCTCACCTCCCATCAACTGTTAAGGCTTTTTTTTTTTTTTTAATTAAAAAGCAGGAAAGTAACATAAAAAAATAAAAATAAATAAAATTTGATACTATCAGTCTTACTAAATTTTAGCCATTGTAATAAGTTTGTAGTGGTATCCCATGTGGTTTTAGTGTACATTTCCCTGATAACTAATGATGTTGAGTATCTTTTCATGTGGTTATTGGCAATTAATAGATCTACATTTATGAAGTAGATCTGTAAATCTACTTTTATGAAGTGTTAAAATCTTTGCCTATTTTTTTAATTGGATTGTTATTCTTACTGAATTTGAATTCTTTTTATAAATTTAGTTATTCTTTTCAGGTATCTATATATAGGTTACAGGTATATATACAGATGTTAAGTATATATCTATAGATATGTAGGTATCTGTGTATTTACTTATATATTCAGCAGGTATTTTCTCCCAGTTTGTTGCTTGCCTTTGTTTTTTGTTTTTTTGTTTTTTTTAAGATCTTTTTATTTTTAAGTAATCGTTACATCCAACATGGGGCTCAAAGTCACCACCCTGATAACAAGAGTTGTATGCTCTACTGACAGAGCCAGCCAGGTGCCCAACTTGCCTTTGTTTTTTAACTATCTTTTGAGGCACTGAAGGCATTAATATGAAGAAGTGATTTTTATCAGGTTTTTTTCTTTTGTGGTGTATGCTTTTAAGTCCTAAGAAGTCTGTGACCACTCCAAGGTCACAGAGATTTTCTCCTTTGTTTTGTTCTACAAGGTTTACGGTTTTAGGTTTAACATGCAGTTCTCTGATCCTTTTTGAGTTAATTTTTGTGTATGGTGTGAGCTAAAGATCAAGGTTCATTTTTTCCCTCTATGGAAATCTAATTTTCTAGCACTGTGTGTTCGAAAGACTTTCCTTTCTCCATTGTATATGTGTGGGTCTATTTCTGGGCTTTTTGCTCTGTTCCCTTGAGGTATTTGTCTATGCTTACAATAGTGCCACACTATCTTGATTACTGTAGCTTTATAGTAAATCTTGATATCAACTCTTGTAAGTCTTCCAGTTTTGTTCTTCTTTATCAAAATTGTTTTGACTGTTCTGGGTCCTTTGTGTTTTTATATGCATTTTAAAATCAGCCTGTCAGTTTCTACAGAAAAAAAAAAGTCTTAGAATTTTGATTGGGATTTGATTGGGATCTATAGATCAATATGGGGGAAATTGTTGTATTAGCCATATTGATTCTTCTAATACCTATAGATGATATATCTTTTCAGTATTTGAACATATTCAGTGTAGAGGTCATATGCATATCTTGTTAAATTTATCCTTAAGTAGTTCATGTTTTTGAAAGAAACTGTATATTGTAATTTTACCTTTTAATTTCCAATTGTTTTTTCTTTTTTTTTAAATTTATTTATTTCTGTGAGAGAGAGAGAATGCAAGCGCATGAATGGGGGTGGTGCAGAGGGAGAAGCAGACTCCCCACTGAGCAGGTTGCCCTATGTCGAACTTGATCCCACGACTCTGGGATCATGACCTGAGCCGAAGGCAGACACTTAACAGACTGAGCCACCCAGGCACCCCCGACTGTTTTTTTTCTAACATACAGACATACAGGTGATCTTTTTGACATTGCTCATGTTAATATTTTACTCCTTTTTTATTTTCCATTATTCTCAAACTGCTCTGTCTAGTATGGTAGCCACTAGCTCCATGTGACAATTGAAAACTTGAAATGTGGTTAGTCTTTGAGAGGGAGTATAAATGAAAAATACAGAAGAAAAGATTATAAAATATTTCATTAGTAATTTTAGATTAATTACATGTTGAAATGATAATATTTTAGACCTATTGGGTTAAAATAAGTTATACTGAAATATTTTCACTTGCTTTATAATATGGAAACTAAAAATTAAAAATTAAATTTTTGGTTTGCATTTGTGGCTTATATTTCTGTTGGACCACACTCTTCTAAAACTGTTACTAACTTCAAAAAATTATTTATTTGTAGATGAAGAAAAAACTCCAGAACAAATCATGCAAGATAAGCAAATTGAAGCGTATGTCATATTTTAAATTTTGTGTTTTTTACTAAGATTTGATATAATTACCCATCTTACACCATTATCTTCGTTTTCCTTTTCTTTATTTTTCCAAGTAATTTTTCATGTATGTACTGAGAAGTTGTTGATACGGGAGATGGACTTAACATGTACCTGAGTGATCACATTAGCACTTTTGGCATTCCCCTTCACCAGATAATTAGTTGAATATCTCGGAGGCATCTGTTTACCAAATCTATAAATGCATCATTGTGGGGAGCCTATAGAATAATTTTATGTAGATAGGGTCATTTTACTTTTTTCAAAGGTTTACTTTATATGTTTTTTGATATTCAGTGAATTTTTTTGATATTGATATTGCTGAAATTTTTTTGTTCATGCTTCTTTGATAGTAAAATTGAAGACCTGGAAAATGAAATTGAAGATGTGAAAATTGCTTTTGAAATAAAAAAGCTTGCATTAGACAGGTAATTTTTACAATCTAGGTATAAGCATTGAGAACTGAATGAAAAATGGGTATGTTTTGAGGTGGAGGGAATATTTTAATTAGTCTAAATGATTAATCAAGTGATATGATCATTAGATAATGGTTACACAGATTTTGAGTTCTGAGAGAAAAGTTACGTCATTCATTAATACCTTCATTTGAAGTAGTTACATAAGATTGACTTAATAAGAAAATGTCAATCAAGGAAATAGAAGGGTGAGCTTAAATCCCATCCAGTGTTCCAAAGGATTACATGGATTTGATTACTACAGTAACTATTAATCAAGTAAAAGAATTGTCATCAAGTTTAAATATATCTATATGTATATATTTTTATTTTTTAAATTTTATTTTATTATGTTAATCACCATACATTACATCATTAGTTTTTGATGTAGTGTTCCATGATTCATTGTTTTCGTATAACACCCAGTGCTCCATTCAGTATGTGCCCTCTTTAATACCCATCACCAGGCTAACCCATCCCCCCACCCCCTCCCCTCTAAAACCCTCAGTTTGTTTCTCAGAGTCCATAGTCTCTCATGGTTTGTCTCCCCCTCCGATTTTGCCCCTTTCATTTTTCCCTTCCTACTATCTTCTTTTTTTTTTTAACGTATAATATATTATTTGTTTCAGAGGTACAGGTCTGTGATTCATCAGTCTTAACACAATTCACAGTGCTCACCATAGCACATACCCTCCCCAATGTCTATCACCCAGCCACCCCATCCCTCCCACCCCCCACCACTCCAGCAACCCTCAGTTTGTTTCCTGATTTTTAAAGATTTTGTTTTTAAGTAAAACACCAATATGGAGCTTGAACTCAGAACCCAAACTCACAACCCTGAGATCAAGAGCCTCATGCTCTACTGATTGAGCCAGCCAGGTGCCCCTAAATATATTTTTAATATAGGTTTTGCATCCGTATTTTAAAATTCATTGAACAAATATTTGAATGCTTACTATGTCTAGAAAGCTTTGTGGTAGGTGTTGGTATACTGTTGTTAATAAGACAAACAGGATCTCTTATGTGATCTGAATTAATAATCTCAATTAAGTGAATGATTTTTAAAATTACTTCCTTGTGTTTCTGGCCTTCCCAGATGAATTTCTTACACATTTAATTGAAAAGTAGTTAAAGTCCTCTTAATTGCTTCTAGTAGTGAACATATAAGTTGGCTCGTTTAAACTACATATAGATTATATGTAGTTTTTATTAATTCATTTTAAGTAAGCTCTTTGCCCTACATGGAACTTGAACTCATGACCCTGAGATCAAGTGTTGCATGCTTTACACACCAAGCCAGCCAGGTGCCCTAGATCATATATATATTTTTTTATTATGTTATGTTAATCACCATACATTACATCATTAGTTTTTGATGTAGTGTTCCATGATTCATTGTTTGCGTATAATACCCCGTGCTCCTTGCAGAACGTGCCTCTTTAATACCCATCACCAGGCTAACCCATCCTCCCACTCCCCTCCGCTCTAGAACCCTCAGTTTGTTTTTCAGAGTCCATCATCTCTCATGGTTCGTCTCCCCCTCTGATTTCCCCCCCTTCATTCTTCCCCTTCTGCTATCTTCTTCTTCTTTTTTTTTTTTTTTAACATACAGTGTATTATTTGTTTCGGAGGTACAGATCCGTGATTCAACAGTCTTGCACAATTCACAGCACTCACCATAGCACATACCCTCCCCAATGTCTATTACCCAGCCACCCCATCCCTCCCACCCCCCACCACTCCAGCAACCCTCAGTTTGTTTCCTGAGATTAAGAATTCCTCACATCAGTGAGGTCCCTAGATCATGTTTTTTAAGATGACTTCAGAGCTATTAAGAGATCTTGTTTTAATGAATTGAATTTTTGTGTGTGTGACAGAAAGGAAGAAATGACTCTGATATTGCTAAGTTGATTGCCTTTTCATTATTACTTATTTATTAGCTATTTGGATTTAAAAGTAATTTATGCAGTTTGTATGTAGGCATATTTTAAAGTTTACATTCAGGTATGACTTTGTATGCCCTAACTCCATGTCAGGCCTGTGCTGATCTCTGTAGGGCCTTAATGCTTCCTCCTAGTCCTGCACCAAGGTGGATGGCTTGGAGAGCAAAGCTCAGGCTGATTTCAAGTCTCATTGGTCCCTCAGCCTGGCAGTGCACAACCACATGCAGCAGCCCTTTCCATCTTGTTATTTTCCATTTCTGTGACTTATTTATCAAAGTATTTCCCACACAATAGTGTTTATAAACCTACTTATGGTTTAGGTTACATTTAAAGGGAAATCCATCTTTAACTTGTATATATATACATTTTTTCTTTTCAATATACCACAAATGTTATCCATGTTTTATAATGCCAGCTTTTTTCCTTGCATTGTAGGATGCAACTTTCGACTGCATTTAAAAAAAACCTGGAGAAGATTAACCCCAAGACTAAGTACGTTTGTTTTTTTCCTTTTTTCTTTTTTTCTGAATTTGTTAAGGCTTAGAGTAAGAAGGGAGATCTGCATAATGACTTTAGGTTTCTGATTTTTTTTTAATTAGCTGTCAGTGCCAACCACCTTTATCTGGGGAATAAGAAAAGTGACGGAATTTTTGTGGGTCCTCTTCAGCATTATAATTTTTAGTCCTACTGACATTTTGTTTGGATTGCAACACTAAGAAGCAATGGAAATTTTTAGGCAGACAGTCTGAAAACTTTGAAGGAAGATTTTAAAAGTTTAGTTTTGTTCAGTATTTACTGTAAAACAGGGATAGGGCTATCTTATTTATCCAATAACCCAGGAATTGGGTTATTGAGATAGGAATGAGACATGAATGAGACAGGAAGTATATGCCTCATTTTTCACTGGCAGAAATGAGCTTGTATATGTTAAACTATTTGCCAAGGATTATAAAATTAAAACTCTGGCAGTCAAGGTTTTTTATAATCTGATCCTTTGTGTATGGCCTCAGGGGCCTTACCTGTGCTCTTATCTATCAAAGCTCTAAAAAAATCTTGTGATAAAAGATTCCCTCCCATTAACACCAGAAAAGTGTTAAGATGCATCTGGGCACTTCCCCTTTCTGGGTGTCTTAGTTCAGACTGATAATGTATTCTCCCCATATTCCATATAACTCCAGGATTACATAAATCCTAAAACATGAATTTGGGCCCTCTTAACGATTGCTCTTCCATTAAAGGTGAGCTTTAAACATTCTTGAGTTAAAGAGGTACAGGACAAATTGAGCTCCAAAGAGACAGAAAGGCCAAATAGGCTGAGGTAGTAGTGCCTTTAGCAAGTTTTAAAGTTTACAAACCAGTATAGCTGTAACTAGTGGAAAATGAGTTTAGCTTTCACAGGTCTATGCAAAGATTTACATTTTCAGCCTCCTCAACAAACTCCTTCTGCATGCAATGTTTCTCATGCCTGGCCGGTATCAGAATAATTAGTATTATCACAGTGATCACATTGCTGGTCCCATCCCAAAATTACTGACTCAATCTCTGAGTCCAAATGGGCATGATGGGGGTCATGTGGTGATCCGCATTAAATATCCTCCCAAAGGATTGTGGCACTTTGAAGTATAAGAACCATTGTTCTTACCCAGTCTTATTTTACACTTTGGCTCCAGCTATACCAAACTAGGTAATCTAGGTAATTACTTCATGTCCTTTAAGATTCAAGAGTTTCCCTTGTTCTACTCTGTGCACAGCTGTTTCATTACTGGTTGTAATGAAACCATACTATAGTTGTGGTTCCATTTTTCTCTTTCAGCAGATTCCTTCCTCTTGGTGTTTTACTTTGCTTTATATTCCTGGTACCTGCACAGGTCTTAGCATATAGTAGGTAATCAGAAATATTTGTTGAAGACATGAGGGTAAGAAGCAGCCTGAATATTCATTGAAACTATTCTCTATGATGCTATAATGGTGAATACATGTCTTTATACATTTGTCAAACCCATAGAATGTACACCACCAAGAGTGAACCCTAATGTGAATTATGGGCTTTGGATGATAATATGTTAAATGTAGATTCATCATTTGTGATGAATGGACCTTTCTGGTGGGGGATATTGATAGTTGAGGAGGCCATGTGTGGTGGGGGACAGGGGCATATGGGCTTACTTTCTATTCAGTTTTGCTATGAGCCTAAAACTGCTCTAAAAAATAAAGTCTGTTTTTAAAAACAACTTATTAGCATGTTATTAGGGCTTTTTCTCCAAAATAGTAGATTTTTAGAAATGTTCCTACATGCTAGAATTTCATATTTTTTATTGTCTGTGATTACAGATTTTTTAGGGAAATGCATCTCTAATTTTATTTTTTTTTTAATTTTTAAAAAAAGATTTTATTTATTTATTTGACAGAGAGAGAGACAGCAAGAGAGGGAACACAAGCAGGGGGAGTGGGAGACGGAGAAGCAAGCCCCCCCAGCTGAGCAGGGAGCCCGATGCAGGACTCCATCCCAGGACCCTGGGATCACGACCTGAGCTGAAGGCAGGTGCTTAACGACTGAGCCACCCAGGCGCCCTTGCACCTCTAATTTTAAACAGTTTAGTTTACATCAAACTTTTCCAGGTTTATTTTGCTAAAAGTTGACTTTCTAGGGGTGCCTGGGTGGCTCAGCTGGTTAAGCGTCTGCCTTCGGCTCAGATCATGATCCCAGGGTCCTGGGATCGAGCCCCGCATTGGGCTCCCCGCTCAGCGGGAAGCCTGCCTCTCCTTTTCCCACTCCCCCTGCTTGTGTTCCCTCTCTCGCTGTGTCTCTCTCTGTCAAATAAATAAATAAAATCTTAAAAAAAAAAAATTGACTTTCTATTGAAGTATAAGTAAATTTCATGAAAGGAAATACATAGTAATTGATTTATTCATTAATGATATTATTTTTAATTAAGGTTAACAAATCATTTTTTTATTCCTTTTCAGTGTGCTCATGGATAACATGAAACACGTATTAAAGCTAAACAAATTAATAATGAAATCACAACAGGTAACTGCACATTGGGCTGCTTATGCATTCTCATGATTTCAGTAACTTGTTGCTGGCAACTGTATTGTGTATGATTATATAGGATTACCAAAAGGTTACTGGTATGATTGGAATTCACTGTTCTTAAGTTTTCTTTTTCTCATAACTCAGTTATTTCTGACTATTGTGGCTAATTATTTACTAAAATTTAAGCTACTGTCCTTTTTCTTTTTTGGTATGGAAATAAAGGGATTGAAAACTGGAGGTTTGGAAAACATGGGCTAATAGATAAAATTCAGTGATGTAAGTGTTAGAGGTTTGTTCTTAGAGAATGTGCCTTAATCTTTTTATTTTTAATAACAGGAATCTTGGGATTTGGAGGAAAAACTACTTGATGTTAGAAAGAAGAGACTACGTATGTAGAACAGTTTTTTGGTTTTTGTTTTTTTTGGTAGAAAACATTTTCATTTACAGTGGAGATTGCCAGTTACCTCAATCATTGAGAAATTTCTTAATTTTCAGATTTTCTTAAAATTTTGCACATGGCATTTTTAAAATTAGTATATAAAATGTTTTTCGCTTGATTCATTTCTGTTGTTTTAGAACTTTAAATCACAAAATTAATACATTCTCAGGGAGGGCGACTGGGTGGCTCAGTCATTAAGCGTCTGCCTTCGGCTCAGGTCATGATCTCAGGGTCCTGGGATCGAGCCCCACATCAGGTTCCCTGCTCTGCGGGAAGCCTGCTTCTCCCTCTCCCACTCCCCCTGCTTGTGTTCCCTCTCTCGCTGTCTCTCTCTCTGTCAAATAAATAAATAAAATCTTAAAAAATATATATATATATTCTCAGGGAGAAAAATATCAAATGATACAGAAAAGTATAATGTGAAAGCCTTACCTCCTTCCTGTGTGACCACAGTTAGGCATAATCATTCAAGTACTTTTTCCATGTCCATATAAACATATTTATATATACATAATTTTTTTTTTTTTTTTAAAGATTTTGTTTATTTATTTATTTGACAGAGAGAGAGAAACAGCATGAGAGGGGATAGGGTCAGAGGGAGAAGCAGGCTCCCCGCTGAGCTGGGAGCCCGATGCGGGACTCGATCCCAGGACTCCGGGATCATGACCTGAGCCGAAGGCAGTCGCTTAACCAACTGAGCCACCCAGGCGCCCCTATATATACATAATTTTAAGTTATCATTTGATACATATGATTCTACAGCTTTTTAACTTAATGAACATGAGATAGCTTTTTGCATTGAAATTATTGAATTTTTTTTTAAAGTAATACACATTTTCAGTAGAATTTGGAAACAAAAATATACTTAGGGAAAGTAAAATTTTTTAATTTACTATGAAGAGATAATCACTCTTCAGTGCTTTTTTTCTTTTTAAGATTTTTATTTTATTTATTTGAGAGCGAGAGAGCACAAGTGGGGTGAGGGGCAAAGGGAGAAGCAGGCTCTTCGCTGAGCAGGGACCCCAGTGTGGGGTTCAATCCCAGCACTCCAGGATCATGACCAGAGCCGAAGGCAGCCATCTAACCCACTGAGCCACCCAGCCGCCCCCACCTTTTTTTTTTTTTTTAAAGATTTTATTTATTTTCTTTATTTGAGGGGAGAAGGAGTGAGCGTGAGCAGGGGAAGGGGCAGAGGGAGAGGGAGAGAGAGAATCTCAAGCAGATTCCATGCTGAGTGTGGAGCCAGGCACAGGGTTTGATCTCACAACCCTGAGATCATGACCTGAGTGGAAATCAGGTCAGACCCATACCTGACTGAGCCTTTCAGGGCTTTGGTGCTTATTTCTTATCTAATAAAATTGGCCTCATTTTAGTCTATGTTGTAAACTGCCTTTTTCATTTAATAGTATAGGCATGATTTATTATTTTTAAATATTACACAGATTTGCCTGTTTGTAAGTAATCTCAGGGTCAGAAGTAGTTCCGGTCATCTGATCTAATCACTCTTTGGATGTTTAATGTTTTTCCATCGCATTCCAACCTGTTTTTGATCCATTTATATCAAGGAACCAAGCTCCTGGGACACACCCATTTATGTTTTCAAATAGTTTAATTCTTAGAACATTTCAGGAACTATAGGAAATGGTTGATGATGTGTTTATCCCTGGAGAAGAGAATCTCTTATTGAAAATTTATCTTGTTGATGTGTCATTTTTGTAAATAAAGGAGGAAAAGGTATTTCCTTACATGTATCTTCTGCCTTCCTTTTGGCAACCCTGAGTAAGTCCTCTTTAACACTTCAAACATAAGTAGACAGCTGTCGTTATCATACATACATACCCTGAACATATTTCATGCAGGACATTGCTAAGGATAAAGTTAAAATACTGGTATTTTTCACCACGAAAGTCATTTTCAGATCAAAATGGAACTGCAACTTAAAATGATGCTTACTGGGCGCCTGGGTGGCTCAGTTGGTTAAGCGACTGCTTTCGGCTCAGGTCATGATCCTGGAGTCCCAGGATCGAGTCCCGCATCGGGCTCCCTGCTTGGCAGGGAGTCTGCTTCTCCTTCTGACCCTCCCCCCTCTCATGCTCTCTCTCTATCTCATTCTCTCTCTCAAATAAATAAATAAAATCTTAAAAATAAATAAATAAATAAATAAAATGATGCTTATTAAATATTTTCTCTTGACTGATATAGTCAGGAACTGTTCTGCTTCACAGTTTTTCCAGATTCTTGTTTGTAGGAGTTGTTAAATATAGTATTTTTTTAACCTAATAGAATTAAAACAAGCTTCAGAAGGTAAGCTTTTAGAAATACAGACTGAAAAGAACAAACAGAAAGATGATTTGGCCAGTATGGAAAATTCAGACAAGATAAAGACCATACAACAAAACCTGCAGATGGAGATACAAATTACGACAGTTATTCAACATGTGTTTCAGGTAATATTTATATAAGGAAAGTAGGTAAAGAACTTTCTGAAAATGATTGGTTCTGTTACTTTCAGATTTGCTTTCAGTTAGTCTTTGATCCTGAAAAAATCATGAATTCAATACTAAGTATTAGTCTGTTTACCTATATTTGGAATTTATGTCTATTTAATGTTTAAGGCTTTGACTTTTCATTATGGTTAGATCTTAGGCATTTATAAGTGGAATGATTTTAGCTTTGTGGAGACAGGTATAATGGTGGAAAGCATTAGAACTTAAACTTGGGAGGTGGGGGAAAACATGGATGGGGTGATGGTAATCTAGAATTATGATCCATACTGCAACTTAATAGTTGAGAACCTTGAGCAAATTATTTAAGTTTTCTAAACATCAGTTTCCCTGTTTAGAAAAAGAGGTTGTAAAACATAAAGAAGATAATTCATGTTAATCTGTCTAGCATAATGTCTGGTCCAAGTAAATTCTCAATAAATGTCGGTAGTTATTACCATATTACCTCTTAAATTTTATGTGTTCCTTTATTCTGGAGGGTTTTCATTTCTCTTTTGAATTACAAAATGTCTCAAACTGTTGAGGTGAACTACTTAAATTACCAGATTTCAATTAGGAAGATACACAGTTAAAACTGCCCATTATGAATGAGATCTTGCCATTTGCAACGACGTGGATGGAACTGGAGGGTGTTATGCTGAGCGAAATAAGTCAATCAGAGAAAGACATGTATCATATGACCTCACTGATATGAGGAATTCTTAATCTCAGGAAACAAACTGAGGGTTGCTGGGGTGGGGGGTGGGGTAGGAGGGATGGGGTGGCTGGGTGATAGACACTGGGGAGGGTATGTGCTATGGTGAGTGCTGTGAATCGTGCAAGACTGTTGAATCACAGATCTGTACCTCTGAAACAAATAATGCAATATATGTTAAAAAAAAAGAAAGCAGGAGGGGAAGAATGAAGGGGGGGAAATCGGAGGGGGAGATGAACCATGAGAGATGATGGACTCTGAAAAACAAACTGAGGGTTCTAGAGGGGAGGGAGGTGGGAAGATGGGTTAGCCTGGTGATGGGTATTAAAGAGGGCACGTACTGCATGGAGCACTGGGTGTTATACGCAAACAATGAATCATGGAACACTACATCAAAAACTAATGATGTAGGGGCGCCTGGGTGGCTCAGTCGTTAAGTGTCTGCCTTCGGCTCAGGTCATGATCCCAGGGTCCTGGGATCGAGCCCCGCATCAGGCTCCCTGCTCCACGGGAAGCCTGCTTCTCCCTCTCCCACTTCCCCTGCTTGTGTTCCTGCTCTCGCTCTCTCTCTCTCTGTCAAATAAATAAAATCTTAAAAAAAAACCCCAAAAAACTAATGATGTAATGTATGGTGATTAACATAACAATAAAAAAATTTTTAAAACCTGCCCATTATGTGTAAAGCAAATATTTATTATTATGTGTAAAGCATATCCTTGTAGAATGTGAGTTCTTATATCTGACCGTAAGATATTCTTCCTTGGGTCTTTTTTTAAGATTCTATTTATTTGTTTATTTAACAGACAGAGAACAGAAGTAGTGAGGAGGGAGAAGTAGGGGGAAAGAATCTGAAGCAGACTCCACGCTGAGCATAGAGCCGTCGTGGGTTCAGTCTCATGACCCTGAGATCATGACCTGAGCCAAAACCAAGAGTTAGACGCTTAACCATCTGAGCCACCTAGGCACTCCTCTTCATCAGGTCTTAAACCTACCTTTTAGTAGCAGTGCTTTGCTCTATTAGGAGTAAAGAAGTCCCTTAGACTAACCTCCAGTGGAGGATTGCATCATAAGTACAGGATCATTTTTTTTTTTTAAGATTTTATTTATTTGACAGAGACAGCAAGAGAGGAAACACAAGCAGGGGGAGTGGGAGAGGGAGAAGCAGGCTTCCCGCGGAGCAGGGAGCCCGACACGGAGCTCGATCCCAGTACCCCGGGATCATGACCTGAGCCGAAGGCAGATGCTTAATGACTGAGCCACCCAGGAGCCCCAGTACAGGATCATTTTAATTTTCTTTGGCACATGTTCCTTCCTACTGCTTTGAGACGTCTATTATTTTATATTTCTTAGCTTTTATTCATATCCTCTTAGTGTTAATTTTGATTTAATGAAATCATTGCTTTGCTAAGCAGAACATAGCTTTGGCTGCATTTGGAGCTCCTGCCCCTAATGGGTTCAGTCATATTTGAATGTTTACTTCCCCTTGCCTTTGTAAATTTAATTGGATTTATATACACCAGCCCAGTAGCAAGAATGTTCTGTGTATAGGACAAATTTTTAAATATTTTTATACATAATAATATAACACTTAAATTCTAAAATCTATTTGAACAGGATTTGAATTAGTCACTTGGTATCATTGAGCCATAGTTTTTTTTAAATAAATAGGGCATGGGCGCCTGGATGGCTCAGTCGTTAGGCGTCTGCCTTTGGCTCAGGTCATGGTCCCAGGGTCCTGGGATCGAGCCCCGCATCGGGCTCCCTGCTCAGTGGGAAGCCTGCTTCTTCTCCCACTCCCTCTGCTTGTGTTCCCTCTCTCACTGTGTCTCTCTCTGTCAAATAAATAAATAAAATCTTAAAAAATAAATAGGGCATAACAGTTTATGCTTAAATTGTTTTTCACTGTAGAAGTGCAAAATGACTGAATCACAGCTGCAGTCTTTTTCCTTTAATCTAGAATACCATTGCAAACATCCCTAATAGGTAAAAGTTGCCTCCAAAAACTGATGAAGCCAAAAAAAAAATTGTTGTAAACATTGTAAATAGTCCCTAGCATTATGGGGATTGAGGCTGAACCCTTACTGAAAGTGGAAATGAGGATACAAGAATGTATTTTTCTTTTTTTAATAGATTTTATTTATTTATTCATTTATTTGAGAGATAGAGCGCTTGCATAAGTAGGAAGAGGGGGCAGAGGGAGAGGGAGAGAGAATCTGAAGCAGCAAACTCTCCCCTGAGGGGGTGGAGTGTGGGGGGGTGCTCTATCTCAATACTGCAAGATCAGGACCTGAGCCAAAACCAAGAGTTGGACTCTTAACTGACTCAGCCACCCAGAAACCCCAAAATGTATTTTTTTCATAAAGTAGATGCCCATACCTAGTTTGGTAAATATTTGATAAGATTAGTGAAAGAGCGGGGCACCCGGGGTGGCTCCATGGGTTAAGCGTCTGCGTTCGGCTCAGGTCATGCCTGGGATCTAGTCTGCCCCATATAGGACTCCCTGCTCCGTGGGGAGCCTGCTTCTTCCTCTCCCTCTGTTCCTCCCCCTTGCTCGTGCTCGCTCTCTCACTTTCTCTCTCAAATAAATAAATAAAATCTTTAAAAAAAATTAGTGAAAGAGGATTTTTAAAAAATCTTGTTATATTTTTAAACGTACTTATAACTTTAATATAATTTTTTTTCTTTTTTTTATTACAGAACCTCATTTTAGGAAGTAAAGCCAATTGGGCAGAGGATTCTGCCTTTAAAGAAACTGTTCTACAGCTTGAGAAGAATCTCACCATGATGTAATAAGAATTCTGTTTTGTTATTTTTTGTTTCAGTCTTTAATATGTCATTTAAATAGCAAATTTAAAGTAAAATTTTTATTTAGTGTTTTTGGAACTAATATTGCAAAGTTTTTGTAGCTTAACACTATAACATGGAATTTGTTCTTTCAACTATGTTAATTAAAGTGACTGGCATTCTCTAAAAGAATCTGAAAGTCTTAGCCTTGCAAGGGCCCCAAAAGACATCTAATCTAGCTTTCCACTGAATGTGGAAATTTTTTCTACAACATTTCTGGCCGTCCCAACTCTTATTTGGAATACTTCTTTTTTTCTTTTTCTTTTCTTTTTTCATTTCTCTTTCCTCCTTCCTCCCTCCCTCCCTTTCTCCCTTTCTTTCTTTTTCTCTTTCTTTTCTTTTCTTTCTTTCTTTCTTGTTTCAAGTTTTTATTTAAATTCCAGTTAGTTAACATATAGTGTAATATTAGTTTCAGGAGTAGAATTTAGTGATTCATCACTTATATATGACACCCCAGTGCTAATCACAAGTGTCCTCGGGGCGCCTGGGTGGCTCAGTTGGTTAAGCGACTGCCTTCGGCTCAGGTCATGATCCTGGAGTCCCGGGATCGAGTCCCACGTCGGGCTCCCTGCTCAGCGGGGGGTCTGCTTCTCCCTCTGACCCTCCTCCCTCTCGTGCTCTCTGTCTCTCATTCTCTCTCTCAAATAAATAAATAAAAATCTTTAAAAAATCACAAGTGTCCTCAATACCCTTCACCCATTTAACCCATCCCTCCACCCCCATTATTTGGAATACTTTTGTGCATTTGTCAGTCAACTAAAATATTAGAAAAATTAGAAAAGGGTATCCACATCCTGATGTGTTTTCAACTATCAGTTGTTTTTTATTGAAATAAATCTCATTTTAGTTTTATCTCAACACAAATTCATTTTTTGCCTTTTTTTTTTTTTAAATACAGAGATATAATTGACATAGCATTGTGTAAGTTGAAGGTGTACAATGGGTTGATTTGACCACCATGGCATTAGCTCACATCTGCATCATGTCACATAATTATTTCTTTTTTGTGGTGAGAACATTTAAGATCATAGTAACTTGGAAGTATATAATAATGTTAACTATAATCACAATGCTGCGCATTCAATCTCCAAAAACTTACTCATCTTCTAACTGCATTTTTGTACTCCGTGACCAACATCTCCCCAAGTCCACCACACCCCATCCACATCTTTGTTTATTTTCCCATCCATCCACATCTTTAAACAGAAACCCAGATAAAGCACCTCAACCTTGAAAAACAAAAAAGATAAACATTTCCAAAATGTTAAGACTTGTGGTTATTGTAGAGTAATTGTGACTTTATTATTTTGTACTTCTATATCACATTTTACTTTTATAAGTTAAAAAGTAAAAAGAGTAAATGTTACTCTGTCTTATTAATAACTTGAACTTGCTGGGGCACCTGTCTGGCTCAGTAGATAGAGCATGCGACTCTTGATCTCAGGGTCATGAGTTCAAGCCCCATGTTGGGTATAGAGATTACTAAAAATATATAAACTCAAAAAAAAAAAAAAAGAACTTGCTATCTTTTATAGTGTCCCATCCCTTTTTAGAGAACGCTCTAATTTGAGTTCTTTATTAGTTTGGAGCTATTAATCATTTTCATAGACAATGTAGTATTTTCAATATTCTTTTTCTTTTTTTAAAGATTTTATTGATTTATTTGAGAGAGAATGAGTGGGGGGAAGGGCAGAGGGCCAAGCAGACTCCCTGCTGAGCAGGGAGCCTGTTGAGGCTCGATCCCAGAATCCTGAGATCATAACCCAAGCTTAACTGACTGAGCCACCCAGGTGCCCCTCAACACTTTCTTAAGAAGGACTTTAAACTTGAAAAGATACACTGTAGGGGCGCCTGGGTGGCTCAGTCGTTAAGTGTCTGCCTTCGGCTCAGGTCATGATCTCAGGGTCCTGGGATCGAGCCCCACATCGAGCCCCACATCGAGCCCCACATTGGGCTCCCTGTTCGGCAGGAAGCCTGCTTCTCCCTCTCCCACTCGCCCTGCTTGTGTTCCCTCTCTCGCTGTGCCTCTGTCAAATAAATAAATAAAATCTTAAAAAAAAAAAAGATACACTGTAGTGGATAATAGCATTTGAAATCTGTTCTTTAGACCAATAATGGAAATACAGAGATTAGTCTAAATTTGAATTCTAAATACTTTTCTTTGAAATATTTAGTCTTCATTTGTTTTGATAAATTATAATTTATGTGTAGTTTTATTCTTTTTGCCATAGTGTATTCTTGGAAATTGTCTATATAAGTTATTGTAAAGCAAGTTTTATATATATATATATATATATATATATATACATACATACATACATGCATATATGTGTACATATATATGTATACTTTTTCTTTTAAGATTTATTTATTCTAGAGAGAGAGCAGGCACGCAAGCAGGGGGAGGGGCAGAGGGAGAGAATCCCTCAAGCAGACTCCTCACTGGGCACAGAGCACAAAACCGGGCTATATCCTCCCCCACCCATGAGATCATGACTGGAGCCGAAACCAAGAGCTGGAAGTTCAACTAACCGAGCCACCCAGGCGCCCCAACAAGTTTTATTTTTATTTTAATTTTTTTATTGTTTTTTAAAAAGATCTTATTTATTTGATAGAGACACAGCGAGAGAGGGAACACAAGCAGGGGGAGTGGGAGAGGGAAGAAGCAGCTTTCCCACGGAGCAGGGAGCCAGATGCAGGGCTCGATCCCAAGACCCTGGGATCATGACCTGAGCGGAAGGCAGATGCTTAACAACTGAGCCACCCATGCGCTCCCAGGTTTTATTTTTCTTATAGGAAAGCATTATTCTGGAAAATACCTTCCTGATGTAAAGATTCAGAATCATCTAAAAATCTTTTTGCATTTTCCTGGGATTTTCTTATCTTCTGTATTCCCTTCTAAAGCCCAAATCTGAGACAGAAATTTCATTAGTCAGTTTTTCCTCAAGTGCTGAATAACAACTCCCTGGCTTAACAACAAACATATCTCTCTTGGATCCATAGTGTGGCTGATCATTGGAGGAGCTGAGGACCATTCACTGTTTGAAACATTCTCATGGTTTATGTGGCGAAGTCAAATTACATAAGCACTTTTAAAGTTTCTAGTTGGGGGACACCTGGGTGGCTTAGTTGGTTAAGCATCTGCCTTTGGCTCAGGTCATGATCACAGGGTCCTGGGATCGAGCCCCATATTGGGCTCCTTGCTCAGTGGGGAGCCTGCTTCTCTGCCTGCTCTACCTGCCGCTCCCCCTGCTTGAGCTCTCTTTCTCTCTGACATAAAGAAATAAAGTCTTTTTTTTTCAAATAAAGTTTCTACTTGGAAGAGGTGTACATTGTTTCCACCAAGGCTCCAGTCACCAAGCCAAACATCACTGGGACAGGAAAGTATACTCCCACAGTAGGGGAGTGCTAGGTTTCAGAAAGGGGGAAGAAAATGGGTATCTGCTGAAAAGAATACAGTCCACTACAGTATATGCAGTCTTGGTCTTAAATATTAACTTCCCTTTTGCACATAAAAGACACACCCTTCCCCAAGGAAAGTAAGTTAACAGTGTCATCCAATCATAACAGTTTCAAAGTTCGGGATCTCATGATAGTCTTTCACATCCGGTCCAGATGTGGCTCTTCATGATCTGGAGATTAATGGACTGAAAAGACAAATTCTGTTGCTTCACATAGCCAGCATACAATAGTGGACAAGGTTAGCAATTCTGATACTGCTTGCAAATGATAGGAGGTGCCCCTTCCTAAGGAGAGGGAACACTTTATGATTAGGCTCTTATGCTGCTCATTGGAAGAGGTTATTTTGTCATTTCCGACTCTGCCCTTTGCTAAGTTCCCCCACCCTTTTTTTAAAAAAAGATTTTATTTATTTGACAGACACAGCGAGAGAGGGGACACAAGCAGGGGCAGAGGGAGAGGGAGAACCGGACTCCCGCTGAGCAAGGAGCCCGATGCGGGACTCGATCCCAGGACCCTGGGATCATGACCTAAGCCAAAGGCAGACGCTTAACAACTGAGCCACCCAGGCGCCCAAGTTCCCTGTTTCCATGACTAACCTTGGACATATCTGAAGAGGGCATTAGAGAGTATGTCCTGAGCAGCTTCCTCAATTGGGGACACATATCATTTTACATCTCAGTCTCAAATTCTGGGCTGTGGTGCTTTTGTTAGTGTATGTGTATATATATGTGTATGTATATATATATATAATATTTTTTTTAAGATTTTATTTATTTGACAGGGAGAGACACAGCGAGAGAGGGAACACAAGCAGGAGGCGTGGGAGAGGGAGAAGCAGGCTTCCCGCGGAGCCGGGAGCCCAATGCGGGGCTCGATCCCAGGACCCTTGATCATGACCTGAGTTGAAGGCAGATGCTTAACGACTGAGCCACCCAGGTGCCCCAGGAGTTTCAAAAAAAATTTTTTTTAAAGATTTTATTTATTTATTTGAGAGAGAGAAAATGAGAGACAGAGAGCACGAGAGGGAAGAGGGTCAGAGGGAGAAGCAGACCCCTTGCTGAGCAGAGAGCCCAATGCGGGACTCGATCCCGGGATTCCAGGATCATGACCTGAGCCGAAGGCAGTTGTTTAACCAACTGAGCTACCCAGGCGCCCCCCAATTTTTTTATCAAGAAAAAACTCACCAAGTTGTACTCAGTACATTCATTCATTCATTCATTCATTCATTCATTCATTCATTTATGTTTTATTTGTCAGAGAATGAGCACAAGCAGGGGGAGCGGCAGGCAGAGGGGGAAGCAGGCACCCTGCTGAGCTAGGAGCCCGATGCGGGACTCAATCCCAGGATTCCGGGATCATGACCAGAGCCAAAGGCAGATGCTTAACCCACTGAACCACCCAGGCGCCCCTGTATATGTACTTTATATTGCATCACATCAGGAGGCTGACATGTATGGTGAGTTTTACCTAAAGGTCTACAGCCAATGTCAGAAAAGGGAACGTGGAACAAGAAAGTAGTCAAAGGCCAAGTAGATAGAGACATTTAAGAATACATAATACAAGAAGTAGAATCAGATGGTGTGCTCCAGGTTCATGAGAATAGCCAAATAATAGTATTGAGAGTGTAGACAGAAATCACAGGACCTGAGTAGGGTCAATAATCAAATGATCTGATGACATACCTGATGGTGACTGATAGAAACTGATTAGCAGGGGCGCCTGGGTGGCTCAGTTGGTTAGGCGACTGCCTTCGGCTCAGGTCATGATCCTGGAGTCCCTGGATCGAGTCCCGCATCGGGCTCCCTGCCCGGCAGGGAGTCTGCTTCTCCCTCTGACCCTCCTCCCTCTCATGTGCTCTCTCTCATTCTCTCTCAAATAAATAAATAAAATCTTTAAAAAAAAAAAAAGAAAGAAACTGATTAGCAGTAGGAAAAGAAGACATGATTTGAGGGTTGAAGCAAGTTGCTGCTTCCACTTTAACTACTTTTATCATCTTCATCCTAGAGAGAATTAATTTATGAGAGCTGGATGAGAATTCTGTGGAGTATGAATATCAACATTTAGAAATGAAGCCACAAGTAAAGAAAAGTCATATTTTCCTGGCTGACTCCCCAAAACAAAATCCATACCAATATGACCAGTAATTTGCACTGCATTTGACATTTTCTGAAATTTATTATCAGGTATTCCCAGGAGACTTCTTTGTATTTGAGGACTTGGAAAGTTTTGTTGTTTTCTTTTTCTTTCTTTCTTTCTTCTTTTTTTTTTTAGACTATTTATTTTAGAGAAGGAGACAGTGCCAGCAGGGGGTTGGAGGAGAGGGAGAGGGACAAGCAGACTCTGCGTTGAGCCCATATGGAGCTAGATGTGGGGCTTGATCCAACGATGCCAAGATCATGACCTGAGCTGAAATCAAGAGTCCGAAGGTTGACTGAGCTACCCAGGTACCCCTGGAAAGTTTATTTTTTAATAAACTCTCTAAATTATGGGACTTCTTTTTCCATAATCATTTCTTAAATATAGTCATAAAGGAAAATGAAAAACTTTTATTTAGAAAAGTAACCAAGAAAGTCTATGTCTTTTAAATGACCTTAGAATGAGAATCTAGGGAATGTCTGGGTGGCTCGGTTAAGCATCTGCCTTCGGCTCAGGTCATGATCTGAGGGTCCTGGGACTAAGCCCCACATCAGGCTCCCTGCTCAGCACAGGGAGCTTCTCCCTCTCCCTCTGCCTGCTGCTCCCCCTGCTTGTGCTCTCTCTCTCTGTCAAAAAAAAAAAAAAAAAAAAAAAAAAAAAATCTTTTTAAGAAATAGAATGAGAATCTAATATTGTAGTTATTCACATAGAAACTTGCTGTTTCTCTGTGTGTAAACGGAAAGTCTTTGTACTAGAAATCTAAGCTTCTGCTGCTTTTGAGCTTTTCTTCCCTAGCTGTATTGAGGTCATTGATAAATAAAATTGTAAGATATTTAAAGTGTACAACTTCATTTGGTGTACATATACATTGTGAAGAGATTCCCACACCTGAGTTAACACATCACCACTTTTGAGCTTTAAGAACACATTATCTGGTTTCAGCAGTGGTGGCTTAAAACAATTTTTTTAATAGCCTATTTTTTAGAGCAGTTTTAGGTTCACAGCAAAATTGCAGAAAGTAAGAGTTCCCATATACTTACTGCTCCTACACATTCACAGTCTCCCCCACTAACACCATTCCTTACTAGAGTGGTGTATTTGTTACTATTGAGCCTATATTAATATGTCATTATTACCCAAAAGTGGTACATTCTATGGATTTTGACATGTATAATGACACGTATCTACCATTATG